TTTATTTAAAAATAAAATTTACTTGAACAGAATAGGATGTTTTCATGCCCCAGTGTGGGTGGGGTTGGCAAGCAAGAAAGTTCAAATATCAAGATAGTTTTAATATTTTTTTGATAGTCCCTTATATTATTTTGATTGATGATAGTTTTTATTATAGACATATATTCTTGTTGATAATAAGGATGACATTCTTCCTCTAGTGTCAAAATCTGTATCTTAAGATTTCTGCTATCGATTTTGATTGCTGATGAACCTACAGATTTCTCTATGTACAAATTTTGTGTGGTGATATTAGTTTTGTTGCAAAATTCACCATAAAATCTGATACGTACTTTTTCTTTTGTTTTGAACAAAATGTGCAAAAATTTATTGGTAATATAGCCTATAGGAATCGTGCATGGGGACATCCAACTATATTGGTACATTCGTAACATGCTCATAATCTATGAAAAATTTAACAAAGACAAAGAACGTAAGAGTTTAAAAAATAAAAAATAAAAATAGGCCTACTAAAAACGTCATAGAAATAAAAAAACAGAAAGAAGTAGCAATCCATCTCCATGTTGGGGCAACAATCTTGTACCCTTCGATGCCATGCAGTCTCCCACCCTGTTACTATCTTGGCAGATGCGAGTGACAGCAAAATCATCGTTGCCAAACTCGACGCTAGGTCCATTGAAGACCCTCATTGCGTGCTAAAGGAGATCCTCATTGCTTGTTACGTTACCCAAACCCAGATGACCCTGCAACCTACAACCCTAAAGCAAAAGGACGCTCTAATAGAAGAACATGCCTCGCCCTATGCTTANCAACCCTAAAGCAAAAGGACGCTCTGATAGAAGAACATGCCTCGACCTACGCTTAGTGGCAAAAATCACTACAAGCCACTGAGAAAAAGGAGTGGACAAACCACAATTTCAGTCAATGCTTAGTGGCAAAAATCAAATGTTTATAAGAAATAAATTAGATAAAAATCAGATTTTTAATGGATTATGTTGCTAAAAAGTTGTAAGTCCCATGGCACTCATTGTTAAAATTAATTATTGAATTTGACTTAGATTTTAATCAAAATTTTAAGTTGAACCAAACATGCCTAAGTGTCTTTGACTTTAATAAAATCCCACAAATGTATGGATCGTGGACTAGTAATATAGATAAAGAAGATTGTTCACACCACTACAATAATTATGTGTTT